AGCAATGGCCAGTGGGTCCACTTCCTGTGATCACCCAATCTTGCCACAGATTAAATTCTGAATGCCAGGAAAACATCTCTTGTTGCCTCCACTTCTACCTCCTTGGACATCACATCAAGCGCCAACGCCTTCACGGTGGTGTCAGACTCACGGCAAAATGGATGGATTGGGAGTTCTCACACAACATTCACTAGGCGATTCAACAATGATTTCTTGATGTGCTAGCACCTGAGATGCAAGAGCCACCGGGTCCAACTCTTCCTGCAGGAATGGGTGCACCAGTTGTATAACCACGCGAACTGCCAAGCCAAGCCTTAAATGTATCCAAATAACAACTAACAACTCAGACTATTTAATGTCTTCTTTCATTGCAGTACGGATTGAAATGCAAAGAAGCGCACTCTGCTGCGCCTCTACTTCTTTGGAAAGAACGTCTTGAGCTAAAGCCTGACTGTCAACTGATTCCGTGATTATGGCCTGTTACCGGTTTGTCAGTCTCCATACTGTATCATTTTTTTTGATATGTTTGGCACATCTCTAGATGAAACTTGCGGATACACAAGTACGGGTAGACAGTTGCTGCAAATCATAGCAGCAAATGCAGCAACGCACACGTGATTGTGCTCTTCCAATCGTGCAAATAACACAGAGTGGTGCTGCATGGGCCTTGGGACCATGTACACAAAGAGAAAGATGGCAACCAACGAGTCTTAGGCTTGGTCTATCCTCCCCTCTCTAGAGAAAGCCTTCTGTTTATATACAGTAATTCATTTCTTGTGGCAGGCACTCTGCCACAGAATGCTCCTGGATGGTGACTATCCCTTAGCACAAGCTTAGACCAAGAATCGGATGAAGGTACCAAAAATTGTGAATGTTTGTTGTCAGTACCCGGTGGATTGTCTAGACTCCTTCGAACAAGACTGTGGCTGCTTTTCCTCAGACCCCTTGAAAAACTTGTGGAGCACAGCACCGGCGATAGACATGGAATGTTGTGGCTGTTTCAGATTCATTTGTGCCTTCGCCACTATCGCAGCAAGGTCCAGCTCGGCCTGGCTCAGTAGGCAGTGAGAACCTGGCCTACCTTGGTCGCCTGTGGGTCTGGGTGAACATCCAAAACATTATATAATATAATAGTGGATAATCTAAAGCATTGCGTGTTGCAGTTGGTAAATGTTTCTGCACCCCAACTGCAGTTGCTTTGCAGCATGAAACCCTTCTTGCCTGAATCGCGGCTGAGGCCTCTCTCATCATCTGCCAAACGAGCAGAGAAACTCCCGGTGTTTGCTCACAGGATAAAGCTCGAAGCCATTTAAAACAGCACACTGTGGTTGGAAATGTTGTCCGTTGGACAATCACAGTGGTCTCTAAAAGATAATCTAATAATCCATACGTCACGGCCTTTACCATACACACTGTCAGGTCTCTTCATGTGGCCTTTTCAGTGACTTCCTTGGGAAGTCCAAATGCCGCAGTGTCCTTGGAACTAAAAACGGTTGGACACAAGCAAATGGAGGAGATCAGGGACGGTTGAAAATAGAAAATCAGGGATTCTCCAAATGTTATTTCTCAAATGTTGCATGTGCCATGTTTGAATCAAGACAACGGGTCTTGGAGCATTTGTGGGCTGTCCTTTTCGGCAAAAAAAGGCACGTCCCATCCAAGATTCGACGCTCAAGTCCGAGACGGTCTGCTCCCCAAGTGATGGTGTTTTCTCAGATGGAGCCTGTCCGCATTCGCTAAAATCGAGAGATCGAAAGAAACCACATCTGCCTCCCGCATCGTATCTACATTCATCCAAAAAAGCGGTGCGAGACTCAATGCAGTACGAGTCCCAAGTGACAAGGACTCAATCAATATGAAAGGCTACATGCTTTTCACTCTGGCACAGCAAAAAGCAAGCAACACGTTAATATTTTATATTTTGACTTAGACTACAAAGATTCTGCAAACCTCAATCTCCTGCGAAGCTACATCACGAGCAAGCGCCTCCAGAACATCTCAGCATTCTCTGAGTTCCAAGTAACTGTCTGTCTTTACATCATTTTACATCTCAAGGCTGTCGAGTGCGACTCATTCATATATATAAATTCCTTGGTCAAAGTAAGTGTGGGTCCTCGGCTGCAATGGTGATGGGATCAATTTCCTGGCCGAATGAGAAAACTTCTGCCACCAAGTCGAAGAAAGGTTTTTGGAGAAAGCGTTGAGCACGTAAGCGTCTATTGCCCTTCAAAGTTAAACTCAGGCCTCCTCCCGCAAAACATGTAGCCGATCCTGCCAATCGGATTCACTGATGTTCCGCTTTTAAGTCTGTCAAAAAAGCCACACCTGAGATACAGCAGGCCTCGGAGCTCAAGCGGTCTGAACACAAGTGGTTGCGTCTCCAGCCGTCTATCCCAACTAAACATCTTCGCGAGTGGTGTGTAGGAGTAAGATATCCAAAGGTCAAAAAGGTCCAAAGTGATGAATTTTAGGCCATGTCAGATTTGGTCCCGCACTTGCCAGGAACGGACGTTGGCTCAGCTCCACTTGAGGATTCAGCCTCCGAATGGGATATGTCATATGTCCCCCATCGTCCCACTGAACCAAGGGTTTTTCAGTGAAAGAGCCATTGAATTGACAGGGTATCTCCATCCCTCAGGGATGGGGGTGGGGAATTAAGGAATCACCAGGCAATCACCAGCAGAGAGCTGAGGCGAAGCTTTCTGCGCTTCGAAGCTGCGATGAACAAGGTGCTAAATGATGTGTGTGTGTGTGTGTGCGCGATTGTTGTCGTTTTAAAGTCCGCTCCCCCCTCCCTACTTAATTAAGTAGGCGCCTACTTAATCAAGAAAAGGAGAGGTAGCTAGTAGCAGCTACAAGAATGCTACTAGCTAGGACGCAGGATAGCTCACGCACTATTTATTTAGTTACTAGATTTTTAGGGGAACTTTAGTTAAAACCCATCAGACGCCACGCCCGTCAAACTGCGAGCGCTGCCCAAAGCCACTCGTGTGAGCTGAAACACTCAGTTGCGTCGGTGTGTGTCCGTAGCTGCGAAGCAGAGAGAACCCAAAGCTATCCTGCACGATTGCTCACACCTGATGCAACCCTGTCATTACGATTTGAAACCTTGACTTGCATGCTGGAAAGAAATTGCGCTGGTATGAAATATGAAACCAGCCGAACGCCTGCCCGGACCAATTCCAAACCAGCACCGAGCACCCATTCTTTGGCACATTCCGTGCACCCAGCACACGCACAACCCACGGCAAATGTACAGCATCTGGCACGCCCTCTGACTTTCTTGCCAATCTATTCACACATTACGCGTGCATGCATATGTGCTATTTGGTGCAAGAAATTCTATGTGTATCCCAAACTCAGGATGTTTCCTAGCAGTCTGCGTCCTGTGAATTCTTGCTACTGTCCACAAATCGTGCGCCTCCAGTGCAGTGAAGCGGGGCTGGGATGCAAACATCTCCTTCTTGCTTTCAGCTCCGGTGGAAAGTTCTTGTTTCTGTGCATCCTCTGGCACTTTCGCTGATAATGTAGCTGAAGCTTCAGCCTGAGAAGGAAATAGCAAAGCGAATGTGGAGCTTCATGATTCATGCATCTAGACTCTTGTGAATTCATGCTGGTTCTCATGAGAGAAGGCCCTTGGATTCAACCAAGAGCATCCAGGTGTCAGGCACGGTGGATACGATGCATTCCAGGCCCTGAGAAATGAAGTTCAACCTGCTCGAGTCAAGTGAACAAAGGAGGGGACGGGAAATGCTCAACACCACAGGGATAAACTGACACCTTTTGTTGGTGGTGTGCCAGTCATCATTCTTTTGACCAAGATGCTCAGGTCATTTCTAGCCAAAAGAGCAGTTGTAGCAAACGTGAGACCACAAGCTTCCCTGCCAACCCTGAACTCGTTGGGGTGAATCTGAGTTGGAGGAGCGAAACTCTTCGAGAAGCCAGTACCGCAACTGGGTGAAACCGGTGGCTGCTACGACGGGCAGCTGGGGTGTCCTCCGGTTCTTGAAGAGATCTCCGCTGCAGCTCTTTCACCAGCCTGGGGGTCGATCCAGGTGGGCTGGGTGGGGCGGACCCAGGGCATCGGCTTCGTCAAGTCAGTTCCGTGGCCAATGACTTGAAAGAGAGAGGCCCTCACAGACAGAGATGTTTTGGACCCATCCCAAGATGATAATTTTGAGCCATTCCATTTTGGCCCTTAAGGAGCCACGAAATGAGTTGATCCAATGACCCTGGCAAAAACTGGACTCGGGGTGTGACGCCAATATCTTGGCTGGGTTTTGCCTCAGCAAGCTCTAGAGATCCTACAAGCTCACAAGTGACCTCTGTATAGCAAGTGTGGTAATATCACTTGTGGAAAGTCAGAGACACAAGTCACACTCTGAGTTCTTGACTCCGGAAGCAAGTCGCCTGCCACTTCAGCAACGATCCGCTCCTGGTGGAAGCACATTCACCACATTCACCACCAACAAAGGCACCTCTGGGTCACGTCCTCCAGACTGGCAGCAGTGTGGGCAGTATGGGCAGAAGCGGGTCTTGATGTCAGCTCCAGCAAGTCTCCAGCCTGCGTCAGTGAGTCTCCTGCCTCATGTGACACATATGCTAAGCTTGACAAGCTTGGCTTTCTTGAGGTTGATCCCTTCTCAACATTTCTCACCACACCACAGCTCGAGTCCAAACCGGGAACCCCTCATGTACAATCCCAAATTACACAGTTGATCTGCTGGGAGGTATCCCCCAACCCTCTTCTGAGCACCGTCATCTTCGGAGATGCGGAGATGCCGGCATCCTGCCTCGCTAAGGAGCTCCGCTCCAACGGCTGCTTGAAGCAAAGCAGCTTCTTCAAAGCCAGCGGAGCAAACACCTCCGGCGCTTCGGATGCTGTTGGGAGGCTTCAACGTGTTTTTTTGCTGTAGTCACAGGTCCATCTGTATTCCAGTGCCGTTTTGGAAGGGGGGGAAGTCGAACCGGCCGTTTCTGAGACACCCGGACTCTCGGGACCCGCGATTCCAAATGAGAGCCTGCCGGAGAGCGATCCCAGAAGATCCATCTAAATGAGACTGACATGAGGAGAGCTACTAGGAGCAAGGACGCTACTAGGAGCTCATGGCCATACTACTAGGAGCAAGGACGCTCCTAGTAGCAAAGGGCATCGCTACTAAAAGCAAGGACGCTACTAGCAACAAGTTGTGCATACTTCATAGGTAAGTCCATCACACAAACATCTTGCAACACTAAAAGTTAGCATGTTGCAGCTACGGCAAAGCCGTACAAAACAAGTTAACAAACACCAAGAGCCTTGTCTTGCCTTGTCTTTCCCTTGCCTTGCTCAAGAATGACAGGCCTGGCCTATCGCTTGTTGTCTCGACTTCACTAGGGTCCTGTCAAGGCAAGTGTGCGTCAGTTTGGGTCTTCAGGAATTTTTGTAGGTTGTTACAGGGGGCGACGGTCAAAACATGTTGCGGAGTTGCAGGTCATCAGGATTTGGTGTGTATTGTGGTGTTCCACGTCTGCCACATTATCTTGTGTTTGGCTGGTGTATTGTTTTTGTTGTGCAAAACATCCACTTTGGACTTTGATATTCCATGACCACTCACTCACTATTCGTCGCTTTCACTAATTTTGAGCCTATCTCATATATTCTGCTGTCATCTCCCTTCCGTTGAGGAAGTTGTTTAGCAATGTTGTCGGATACGCAATATTTAGGGAAATGGAAATCCAAGTCACTCCCACTAATGCTAAGCAGCAACAAGCCCAATCTCTATACTGTCCAAATTGATCAAAATTGAAAGAAAGAAACAAAAAGTAAGGTCGGTCTAGAAGGCCAAAGAAAAAAATGTGTATATAAAACAAAATTGACAAAAAGGAACACCAGGTGGTTCTTGATGAAACAAACACTGTTCTTCACTGAGTTCTTCTGCTCAGCCCTGCACAGCTGGAGCCACCGAGTCCTGCAAGGGGGAAGAGGGGAAGACACGCACATAGAAAGTGCACCAATTCCCCTGGTAAATGACCGCTCACAATGAAGATGCTTCAATCACTCACGTTGCACTTTCACTGCTGGTGCTTTTGGCACATTTCGTGGTGCTGATCCAAAAACTGTCCTGATCCAAAGACTGATGCTCCAACACTTCAGCCACCTCAGCCGCCACCAACGCCACCGACGCCATCGGACCGAGCGCACCGGACGATGAAAAAGTCCGAGGAACCATTTGGTGCACAGCGGTGGCACTGTAATCCTTCTTGGGATCCTGATTTGGCGGAAGAAACACGTCGGACCTCGTTTGACCTGGACCCTGTAAACAGGGTCCCCCATGAGCTCTGAAGAGTTCTATTCTCTCTGCTTCAATAACCCCAAGGATCATGTCATGTAATGCGTGTTACACGCTTGCTGTAGTGTTCGTGTTGAGGTGGCAATGCCTCCTGGCTGCCCCCTGACCGAGCACTTTCCACTTCTGAAGATGCCTGCAAGAGGTTGAGTGATGCCGCTCCAACCACTTGCTTTCCACTTGTCTTGCCCCAGAAAGTGCCTCTAGAGGCTGCACAGAAATCACTGGCAAGATCTCAACGCTGACCTCCCAGCCAAGCACTTGTCTTGGCGCGCCACTGTGAACACAAGTTTGATTCTATAGTTTCAAAAAGATGTTCGCCTTGAGTACAGTGGTATGAAAAACCACCAGTACTCAGATGTTAATATGCTTTCAGTTGCATTCAGTTGCATTCAATCGAGCCCCCCTTCTCACCACCGGTGTTGCCTCAGAGGTCAACAAAGATGCTGCTCTGACAGGATGAGCTGTAGCTGCAGCGGCTGAGTCGAGCAAGTCCTCAGCAAGCTGGTCGACAAATGGTCGAAGCCTCAGGTCACCACTGCGATATTTCCCGAAGGTCTAGCTTCAAGGATTCAAGGACTGCCATCTATTGCTTTTGCTTTGTATCTAGCAGCTACCAGAATCTAGTCTTACAAAACCCTCTGACAACTCTTGATCCCCCGAAGTTTCCTACAATCTGCCACTCCTGTGCCATCGCAGCAACGTCAACATCAGCGCCTCAGGAGTTGCACGCGTCATCGAACCGTTCGAGGAAAAAGTCACAAACAAGATCTGAAATCACAACTCGCGCCTGGAACATGCGCTTCGACTTCCTCAACAGTAAGGGCATTGCAGTCAAGGTCATTCTGCGTTGGTGCTGTTACTTTTTTGCGTCGGTGCTTTTTGGCCACTAGAGAGTTCCACGTGTCATTTCAACATTCTACCGTGGATAGTTTGATTTCCTAGTCAATCTGCAAAATCATGTCAAACAAAGTCTGCTCTCCCAACTTCAACTCCACTTTACTAGTTTCAGCTTTTGCGAGAAACACCGCAGACGCGCGTCAAGCGGCGAGCGCTCGCACTATGCCCTGTGGAGACCAAACAGTTGTAGTACAAACTCCAGTGTTTGACACCACTCTTGTCTTAAGAAGCTACTAGGGGCTCCTGGCCGTACACCTAGGAGCAAGGACTCTTGTCCTTAACATCGGTCATTGTTTCGATTCCCAACGCACAAGATATTGAAACATGCGGCATCGCTAAGCGAATCTGAGCCCTTTTGCGGGACGTTTGGAAAAAGCTCTAAAGTATGATCTTCTGATCAACAATCCATTGGTTGTCCTCAAAAGAGACTATCTATCTTTCTTTCTATCTATCCATCTATCTACAGGGACGCGCCTGTGGTGCCGTCTCCGCCGACCTCATGGGTGGCAGAGGTGCCATGGGTAAGAAGCACCAAACCCCAAAGGACGAAATGTTGCGCCATGAGCGAAGGTTTTGGACCTGTAGGCGCCACGACATGATTCTCTTACAAGACTGTGTCCGACTGTGTCCCTGCTTTCTCTCCGATGTGTGTTCAGCTAACTTCTATGATTCAAAAATCTATTCAAAGGTTTCTATGTTCTTTATGTTTTTTGTGCCAAATATTCTATTTGCTGTTCGAACTAACCAGTTCCATCCATCCACTCCCTCCAGCCTCAATTCCTCGATGGTGTCATTCAGTGCGTGGAAGGCAGTAGCCTTGTAAAGCCGCAAACGTTTGCAAAAGAGATTCAAAATGTTCAAGGGAAAAGGGGTGTTTGTGGTGCTTTCTCTTCGCTCCTTCTAGCAGGAGCATCATACATTTTCCAGTGTCTTCTCTGAGTACCAAGGCTGCTGTGGTAGCATCATACAGGTTAAACAAAAGTCGAGACGTTCAAAGTAAAAATAGACACAGTAGTTCGTAGTTACTGAATCAAATTCAATTGTTGGTTACACAAACCCAAATTCCAAGTCCAATTCGAGTCTTCACTGTTTCACTGGAGACTCATTGGATGCGCCAGCCTTGGCCACCTGCAAAGAGCCTTGCGAAGTGGCCACACTGACGGCGGGGCCTAGCAGGAGGGTGGGTCACGCTGAAAAATGCGGAGAGTGGGTAACAGGTCCAGGTCGTTTGTTCCTCAGACATCAAAGAGTCTGAAAGAAACATTAGTGTTGGCAAAAGAGTCCACGGAAGAAAAGAGTGACGGCCCTAAGGCGTGTGCCTGAGGCCAGACTGGCTGCATCCTGGGCCACATCCTGGCAGACTAGCCGAAAAGGAAAATGACTTCAGACCCTTGCCTCGCTTCCCTGGACACATCGACATGAAAGAGCCTCCGGTCTTTCAATCGATGGGGCAAGTAGCTCACTGCCCTCGCAGCGCGACGCTTTCCGGCTGTTTCTTCACAGTCGCGATGCCGTCTCTAAAGAGAAGAATGAAACAGGGCTACCCGGTTCTTTACAACTCCTAGCCAGCTCATAGAAGGGAAGTTCCAGGAAATCCTACTGCCCTGGAGTACTATGGGGCGGTGGCAATTGTGAGATTTGGGATGCCTTTCGATGCCAATGGGAGATGATGCCAATGCGACAGTCATGGGAGTCCGCCTCGGTGCACACCTGCGAGGCTGGTTGGGTATCTGCCTGACTGGGCAGTGAGTCCTGCACCCAGTTGTGGACCAGCTCCTGGAAAGCAGGCTCCAAAGTCGTCCAATGTTTCTCGTAAATTTCTACACCATTCAAGCAAGCAGTGTGTCCATCAATAAGAAGCAACAAGAAGTTTCGGGCAATGACCTGCAAGAAAAAGCTGGATGACTGATCTGATGTCACTTTCCAAAAAGAGGGCTCCGTGATTGGCTCGGATGCGTCGGCGGTGACCACGGAAGCACCTGAGCCAGTATCCCCAGTGGCTCTGGGAACATGGTCTGGAAATGTCTGGAACATGGTCACCATGGTCTGCCAAATATTGATCGTTGACTTCGACTTCTAGTGAGGCAGAATCACTACATCCTACACGTCCTACACCAAATGCGCAGCCGTACGACACACACACACCAAAAATAGATGTTTAAAAAATACGTAAAACGACGCACCAGGGCACTCTGACCACCACGAGCTGATTGACCGCTTGATGGCCTGTCCTGAACGAGGATGTTGCTGAGCATTCTGTGCTAATTGATATGCATGGTGAGCTCGAACGAGTGAAAGCAACCAACAGCAAGGTCAAAAAGAGAGTGCAACAAGATGGAAAGACGAGTGCCAAAGAGACGAAACCCAAGAGCTTAGCCGAACAGTCAAAACTCACCTCTGAAAAGCTCATCTTATCCATGAAAAAAGACTGAGCGCGGGGAGGCTGTTACTGTGTGCGCCAGGGATAAGTCCAAAGTTAGGAAACGGCTACTGTACCGCTTGATCGCTAAACACCTGTGGCCCATGGCAGTCTGCAATGAATCCAGACGCGTTATTATCAATATGAACATGCTGCCACTTATATAAGGGGGCACCCCTTCACTTATAAAGCTTTTCGGCCCAAGTTTGCAACCTCTGTAAATGGGTCATCCCTGGTTTTGGTGCTTGCTCGTTGAAGATCAAAATGTGAAGAACTTGAGACAAGCAATCAAACTGCAAGGCCTCTGGCTGAAGGACGTCAACAGTCAAGGATGATGCCAGGATGTCTATCTCGTCCAACCTTAGTTGATTGCATCGCACCAGTGCAAGCATTGAATCCTATCAAGACAAGGGCTTGTGAGCCAGATTCCCGCAAACACACCCTTCCCGGTTCCAAGTTGTGCCGGTCGTGCTATTCCTCAAGGTGTCCCCTCCTTCCCAAGAAGTGTCCCAGAAGAGAAGTCTCTCTTCCCAACTTCAAAGTCCCGTAGTTCAATCGCTAGCTAGTGTTGACACAGCTGTGAAAAGTGCAGGCCAGCAACAACTCATCTTTGGTCTTTCTTGCTTGGCTGGGCATGATGGTGACCTGACCATCTAAGCATCATCTGGGCACCATGTGGGCATGTTGAGCATGAAGAAGGGACATCGACAGCCAAAAGCAGGTCACCGCCTCTGACGCTGGTCTGGAGACCTGGAAGCATGATTTCTTCTCCGCTCAACTATGTGAGATTTCATTGCAAGATTGCAGCCTTGGATTGCTGGTCAGCATCGTTCAGTAAGTCCTTGAATCAGGTGTGCCGGGATGTCCCTTCTTGCGGACCCAGTCATCACTTGGGGTCCCACTATCTGCCCTGCGTCTGTGTCTGTCCACATTTATCTAGCATGACATACGTTTCCGCGGTCAGGAGATTGAGGTTGGGCTTATGATGGTACCTTGTTTGGCTGACCTTCTTAGTTTAAAAAGCTGGTGACTGGGAATTTTTTGAGTGCAGTAATCAGATTGACGCGAGTCTTGGGTGATTTACTTGCATAACACACACTTAGGAAACGCGTACGGAACTGAATGCCACATGCCACACGCCCACCTAGGTATGAGAGCCTAAGAGGTCAAGTTAAAGGTATGTAAGGTGAACCTGAAAGAGTTCCCAGAAGCGGTTTTCCAAGACTCCAAAATTCACCAGAGTGTGAAAGTCCAGCTTGACAAGCAATCTTCAAGCTTCTGCAGACCTGTCATTACCTAACCAGCCTGACATCTACAGGAGCATAGTTACCCCGTGGCCTGTGCCTCCTGCATCTAGTAGTAAAACTCCAAAATCGAAAACCTGAAACATCCTGAAACCAACTTCGAAGGAAGCCCTCTGATTCCAAGGGTTTCACACACACAGACACTCTTTGATTCAGGGTCACATGTGCTTTGCTTTATAGTTGTATTTTCCTGAACAACGTGCAGATTTGAACGTTGAAAGTTGCCACGAAGGATGCCATAGAAGAAACGCCCCGAGCGGCTCCTCAGCGAGCTTCTGCCCCAATGCCTCTATAACGGCCACCTCATCGAGTCCAACATGAAAAAAGGGAGTTAAGAGGACTGTTCCAAAACCCTTGGGTTTCTGGTGGGGAAAACGGTCCCCTGCCAGGCAGGAAGAACGGTCCTTGCGTCTCCCTGCGCATTTTCGCGCCTCGTTGGAGAGGGACGGATCAGAGATCCGGCTCGGCGTCGAACTTCGGCGCGCCTGGAAGGAGGTGAAGGCGGCACCCCGGTCTCTTTTGGTTGCCAAAACGGTTGTGAGAAAAGGGGAAAAGGGTTTTGGACTGGGGCTTGGAGGGTTTTCAGTTTAAAAACATGCTGTATACCTGATGTATGGAATTGGTTTGAGGCAAATGACAGACAACCCCACCGCTTGCTCGTGCTTCATCTGCTGCATAGCCAGATCGAGCAACTCCTTGCATCTTGAGTATTTTTCCGAAGCAATGTAAAAAGAAAAGGACTTATATACATTGACAACTTGCTCTGTCCTCTGCCACAGACTCGCAATATTTGACCATGGCCGACTGAGCAAAGCAAACCCATCTCACACCACAAAGAGTAGAGTCTGAAGGGTGTGGATAAAAGGATTCTGAGTTCATGATGTTTCATTGGTGTCGAAGTGGAAAGCCTGAACCCCAAACCTCGACATCCTCACTGGGCACTTTGCCACTTTGCTGTTCAACACCGCCGCTGGCCTCACTAGCTGTGAGCACATCCGAGCTTGGCCCTGCCTGCCAACGGGCTGTGGCTGAAAAACATGGGCCACCCAATACCCCCTGTCAAGGAAAGACAAACAAAACCCTTCTTGAAAACCGTACTCAAGTCTTGCGCCACAATGCCTCGTTTGGGTCCATGTTCAATGCCTCCCTCAAGGAACTCTGCAGCGTGCGCCTTTGCGTTGCACCGCCGAAGCTTTCACAGTTTGCCAAACCCTTCACATCCTTTGAAACACCGGAACAGCCATAATTATCAACTCACACCCAAACGAAAGGGTACTAATCATATCCGATACTCAGCAAAGGCACTGTGCTTCCAGACCTCATTGACAACAAGCGGCAAGTGATATATAAACGCTAAATTTGCAGCAACAAAAAACTGACGTACAATTATTGCATCCAAAACACGCTCTTCGTCATCTCGCGCTGCCTCTGGAGGGATTGTTGCCGCATCAGAAACCTCCCAATCAAACAAACGTACGAGCAGTCTTTGTTCCATTCTATGCCTTCCCCGCTGTTCAAGTGCATGTGCTCGAATTCTGTACACAGGAAAGAAGGGACAGCCAAGGTTTGTCCTGCTCAGATGCAAAAACAACCGCCATGCATTCTGGAAACAAAAGATGTGCCTGCGTTGCAGACAAGACTTCAGAGCTTTCCCGCTGGGCCTTCAAATGGAGCTTGCAAGTATTTCTGTGTGGTTGACTTCACAAGCAACAAAATGCCCTTTTATCTGTGAAGGATGAACGGTGCCTGTTCTTTGTGTTGCATCTCATGCAACAAGGCCGAAGCAAGCAAGTCCTTCAGCAATTCTGCAACAGCGCTGGCAGCAAACACCTACTGGTACTGTTACTTTATTTTTCCTCCGCAATGTTGTCCCCCAGGCTTTCAATAGCATTGGCCTGCCAAAACAGAAGCGGAATACCCTATATACATAACATGCGCCATGGAATGTATTCAACCTCATGTCGCGAGCACTCGGCATGTCCTGGCCTCTGGCATAGAACAATTGGAAGCATAGATCGAATTCCTTTGACTGAGCCAAGAACTGCAAACAATCTTGCAAAGACAATGATGTGGAAGTAAGTCCCTCACGGCTTTACTGCTTCCACCTGCAAGCCACGAAGGTGAATGTATGACCGCAAGGCCTTGCTTGCAGCAGGCTGGGCACTTGGTCTTTCAAGACAAGAGGGGTTCCTGGCCTCACTTGCCGTGAGCACATCCGAACTTTCCGGTTCTGCCTGCCAACGCAAAAAATATCCAACCCGAGCATAGCCGAGCAATATGTATATATATATATAGAGAGAGAGAGAAGTAGAAACGTGTTTAGGTGTTTGTCAATCATTATCAAGTCTTCTGTCGCCCCAATGCCTCATTTGAGTCAGTGTTCAACGCCTCCCTTATGGAACCCTGCAGCGTCCGCCTTTGCATCGCAGTACAGCCCGAAGAGCTGCTTTGAAGAGTCCACTTGTCAGAGATTGCAAAACTCTTGACATTCCTCGTTTAGTCCACTATTTACCACAGCAAACACACAAGTTTGAGGCTCCTATCACCCGATTCAATATGGCCCATACTGAGTCATATGGGATACTCCGCCAAGGCACTGCTGCTCCAGACCTCATTGACGGCTCCAAATAAGAAAAGCTGCCAAATTGGCAGAATGGTAAGTACATAAATACTGACAGAACTTGCATCCAAAACACGCTCTTCATCTTCTCGTGCTGCCTGCAAAGATTGTTGCGGCATCCAACCAAACAAACGTAGGAGCAGTCTCTGGAAATGTCTTGTTTCCAACCATAGGCAGTCCAAGTCGGTCGGAGTCAGTTTGAGCGTTTGAAGAAACTGGGAGAGGCAGCAAAGAATGAACACATGATGTTGAGGAGATGATACACGTGCATCTTACGGTGCAATTTAGCTGGTGCATCGGTTCATCAAAGTATACAATGTTGAGAGGAGGATACATGTTGAACAACACATTTCACTCAGGTTAGGAAGGAGGTTCCGTCCGCGCCTTCGGCCGTTTCTTCTCCTTTTTGTCCTTCTTGTCTTTCTTGTCTTTCTTATCCTTTTTGTCCTCAAACCCAGCAGGAATTCAGCAGCTTGTATAGTCTAGGACATAGATTTGACATGGTCATGATTGAAACAAAAAAAAACTCCACTAGACCTCTAGTGCAAATTTGCTTGGTCACTTGTGGCCACATCATATCTTCCTGTGCCAGCAGCAAAGCACCGTAAAATGCTGTCCTTCTTTTTCTCTTCATGAACTTTCTGCGCTGGCTCGGCCTGCTGCTCAGGCAGTAGAAGAGCTGGGCTTACATGCATAGGTGCAGTATCATGGTGGCTCATCCACGCGAGCCCTCAACGCATAGCCAGCTTGGAAATTACTCACTGTATGAAAAGAACACACCTGGACCAAAATTGGCCAACTTACAGCAAGCTGTGCAGATGTCGTCTACAAGCTAACCAGCAATAACGCCCTAATGCCTCCTTTGAGTCGATGTTCAGTGCCTCCCTCAAGGAACTCTGCAGCGTCCGCCTTTGCATTGTCAAAGGGACAGAAAAGTCAAAACTGCTAGCGATGGCATCCAACCTACTAGCGATGGCCTCCCCATAGCAGCTTTTTGACGAGTCCATTTGTCACACATTGGAAGAACCATTACTTCCCTTGTCTAGTCACTAGTCCGCTATTGAACACGCAACTTTGAAATTCTTCACACTCAACAAGCAATAGAAACAAACATGTACTGAATCACATGTGATACTCAGCCAAGGCGCTGCTCTTCCAGACCTCATTGACGGGGCTTGAGTTCCAAGGAAGAAAGGCTGAAAGATTAGCAGAACACGAAACACTCACTGACAGAAACTTGCATCCAAAACACGTTCTTCATCTTCTCGTGCTTCTTCTGGAGCGATCGTTGCCACATCAGACACCTCTCAATCAAACAAACAAAGGATCAATCTGTCAAGATGTCTTACTTCTACTCAAAGTAATTCTATGCCTTTTCTAGTGTTCAAGTACATATGTGAGTAGCATACACACAAGGAAGAAGGGAGAGCCAAGGTTTGTCCTGCTCAGATGCATTCAACAAGGCCCTAAACAAGCGCGATAAATTTTGGATTTTGGCAACAAGCAAAGCGTGCCTGCGTTGCAGACAAGACTTCAGAGCTTTCCCGCTGGGCCTTCAAATGGAGCTTGCAAGTATTTCTGTGTGGTTGACTTCACAAGCAACAAATGCCCTTTTATCTGTACGGTGCCTGTTCTTTGTGTTGCATCTCATGCAACCAGGCCGAAGCAAGCAAGTCCTTCAGCAATTCTGCAACAGCGCTGGCAGCAAACACCTACTGGTACTGGTACTTATTTGTTTCCTCCGCAATGTTGTCCCCCAGGCTTTCGATAGCATTGGCCTGCCAAACAGAAGCGGAATACCCTATATACATAACATGCGCCATAGAATGTGTTCAACCTCATGTCGCGAGCACTCGGCATGTCCTGGCCTCTGGCATAGAACAACTTGAAGCATAGATTGCTGTGAGCACATCCGAGCTTGCCGGCTCTGCCTGCCAACTCAAAACCTTAAAACAACAAAACAGGGCTGTGACAGTGGAAACCGAATAGAGAGCCGGGTATTCATACCCCGCTGTTTGCCGAAAGACAGAACAAAACCTTGCAGGCTCCAGGTCTGCATTGAACCCCACAGAAACGAGCGTCCTCTGTCGCCCCGCCTCCTTTGAGTTGGTGTTCAGTGCCTCCCTCAAGGAATTCTGCAGCGTCCGCCTTTGCATTGTCAAAGAGACGAAACAAGTCAAAACACAGTCCGGTTGTCACAAAAAGTTTGGAAGACCCTTCACATTCGTTCACAACTTGGGTGCTAGGATTCAGCACCCAAGCACACTTTTGTTTGATTTTGGCACGGCCATATGGAATCAAATGTGATGCTCTGCCAAGGCACTGCTGCTCCAGACCTCGTTGGGCTTTGACAAAGCAGAAAGGCTGCCAAATTTGCAGAATGCGAAACATTGAAATACTCACAGAAACTTGCATCCAAAACACGCTCTTCATCTTCTCGTGCTGCCTCTGGAGCAATCGTTGCCACATCAGAAACCTCGCAGTCTTCCAACATGTGTCACTTCCAGTCAAAGCATGCATTGCTACGAAAAAAGACTTTATATGTATCTTGTACAGTATTGGGAAAGAACGCATCTTGACTACACGAAACAGCGATTTGCAGGCCACATGTCAGCCAGGGTCTCTCTCCTGGGTACGTCAATGATCGTCAATGCTTCGGGACGACGACGGCGAGCCGTAGCTCACCCGACGACTCGACCCGGTCGACTCGACTCTCGGTTGACCCGGTCGAGCCTGCTCGTCGTGTTCATGCAGCAAGGCGGAAGCAAGCAAGTCCTTCAAGTCTGCAGGAGAGGCCCAGTTAGGCTTGACAGAGTCATGTGTCTCCTCAGCAATATTCTCCCCAAGGTTCTCAATTGATGCCTGCAACATGATGGAATATGTCTAGATACCAAGCCAACACAGATCCAACTTGTTCCGCCTCCGGGGCACAGCTCGAAGCATGGCCGCCCGAGCTCCTCTTCAGGCGGGTGAAGAACTGGTTTCACCATCCCCAAAGACATGGACGATGAAAGTTGTAAGTTGTACTAAGTCCCTTGCGGTTTTACGGCTTCCACCTGCAGGACAGGGCGACTGTGCCCTCCAGTGTCAGTGCTTCCCTGGGCGTCCACGAACCGGCCTCACTTGCTGTGAGCACCTCCGAACTTGCAGGCCTGGCCTGGCGTCCAACGGGCGACGGCCGCGCGGTGACCCACCGGTGACCCACCGGTGAACCCATTCGCCTCGCTGGACTCCTCGAGCTGCAAGGCCGTGCGAAGCAAGTCCTGGATCAACCGATCAATTGAAGTGCTTAATGACTGAAGTTTACTGGGATTGGCTCCGATTAAACCGAAGCTTCGGTCGACCGATGCAGAAGTTCCGCTTCGAAACCCCTTGTGCTGGCGCTTAGGCTGCGCTGCGCGCTGCTTAGACAGTCCTTGGCCAGGTGTTCTCCGAACACGTCCAATGCATCAACCTGATCTAACTCAGATCAACTTGAAAAAGTGTCACTCGTTGACTCGTTCGTAAGAAACTGCAGAAGTCAAGAGTTGGTAAACCATCAGCATCGAATGTCATGTGTGAATCATCATAAGGCTCATCTTGCTAAGTCAAACAACTAACTCTTTTGAGCTGATTCAAAAGGATACTCATTGACAGCCCTCCTAGGTCTTAGAGCACAAAATGCTGCCCTGGTTGCATATGAGAAATAGAAGGTTCCAAGTGCTCAAGTGCCTTGTCTTTTCGGTTGAGTCCTTTTTTCTGCAGTTCTCGAAAAGGCGTGCCTCAGCATCTGCCAGGATCAGTGCCTCCTTGAGTGATGTCTCAAGAATATGCCTTGGAAGACCGAGTGGGCTTACTGAAACGAGACACCTGCTATTGAAGCTAAGATTCTGCTCGTCCAAGCCTTAGAAAAAAAAACATTGTTTCAGCTAAGTGAAAGCCAAGCTGGAACAGAATCAAAGCAACTCACCAGCTGGACACAAGATTCAAGTATATAGGTCAAGACACGTTCCGCCTCCTCTTGCGCCACTTCTGGAGACACTGTTGGAACTTCTGAAACTGTGGGGGAGTGGGGCTTCTTCTCATGCTGCTCGCGCTCAAGAAGTTGATCCACCTGATCTCAAGCTAAGAGCTCAAAGAACTGGAGGATCTCTACACACGCTTCTAATCTTCAATATCATCAAAAGCTGTCGTTGCCCACACAAATAGGAACCCTACTGTGTTGCTCGGGCTGTGGCTACGGGGTTCCCCTGATGCATTTCCGCCGTAATTTAAAACGGTAAAAATTGAAAAATGATATGTCTTGACCGTTTTTCCCGGGTCGGTCGCCCATTTTTTACTACACGCGCGGCAAACACGGTAAACACCTATCAACAGCAGAGTTCATCTACCTGATAAACCAGCCAAGTAAATGACCTGTTTTCATCCGCTTTCCCTGTTTAATCTTTGCAAGTACATTCCCTTCATAATTGGTTTGTTCAGTCTCTGTGTGTGTGTTCAGTACTGGATACAGAACTAGTCCCTGACTCTTTCAAAAGAGTCATGGTTCCAGATCTAACACCTTGCTAATGAATACGTCTCCCTGCATGAGAACGCTCTTGCTTCTGATCAATATGATCACGACGCTGATGAATCTAGTAATGTGTCAGTGTCAATTGAACCAGCGAAGCCTTTGCATGATTGAGGTAGCATGTTTTCAATGACAAAAATGAACCTTCAACAACTTCCACGCCTGCGTATGTGAGGCAGAATCACCTGACAAAGCGCAGCAAAGTTGCGGTCTTGTGGCAATCCCTTCAAAAAGACGGGGGCCCCCAATGTGGGCTGCACGCCCGCAAGCCATTTTGTTAGAGTGGGTTGGTGTGAGCCTACATTCAATACCTTTGCGGCCAGTGGCGATCAAGCTCTGCCAATCTCAAAGAGCTTGTCAGTAGCAGTCTTTGTTCTACACGCTCTTCTTCCAGCTCATAGGCCTCCGTATCCAGCGATGCTAGGCAGGACATCTCTGATGAGCGGCGAACAAATCATGCAGTAAGCTTCAAATGATTTACAGTAAGTCAACCACGGCCATTTAGCTTGAACAATGTCTCAGGACATGGAAACTGTGAATGGGAGAGATGAATCAAAGTCTGCAACCCCGCCTCCTCCATGGTGACTGTACCATTCGAGCGCTGCGTATCCAGCACTTCTCGCGCCTGTGCTGGCAATGTCGTTTAATGTCCGGTTGTCTACGACTGTCTGCACGACGTAGTTGTGGAAATACCATGGGTCTTGTAGAAATTGTTCAATATTCATGAACGAGTTGCAGAGAGCTGTTCCTGTCGATCTGCAGGATGTGCCCACTACAGTTCTATTGCGGAATGATCAAGATTGAAGATACATCAATGACGATCTTTGTTCATGGCAAGCACATCAAAGCCACTGCTTTCTGCAACACCGATCGAAGAATCAACCAAGTGCATCAGCAAAGCCATCGGAACCAAGGTTCTTGCCCTTGCAGAATCGACATGCACATCTGAAGAGAATTCATGTGGTAGAAGCAAGTTGGATGCTATTTGATGTTTGCTCAATCCCGCCGTCAGGTCCCTTCCCAAGACAGAGTCGCCTCTGACAGCACATCTGAGTTTAGCTTGGCCTGCAAAGTGCAACTCTGAGACATCTGTCCGCCAATTCTGTTCTTGTGGGTCTGTGAACAAAAGTACCAGTCAGAATAGATCGATGTCTCGAAGTCTTGGTCGATGTCTGATGCGGACCTCTCCAAATTCCTTCAACACCGCCGAATCGATGAGCTCCTGAACGAGGGACATTCGTGGACGATGAAAGAGATCCAGAGGACATGTCTCTTCTAGACGATTCCCTTTTTTCCGAGACCTGCAAGGACCAACAAATCACACAAGGCTCACGTGGTGTTCCAAGACCCAA